CAAAAAAAAAAAAAAAAAAAAAAAAAAAAAGAGGGACAGTGCAGACCCACCTTTTACCTGGCAGACAGCGGGCGTTCTCCGGCAATAGGTGCTCATAGGTGTTGAACAGTCCTGCGTTGGAGACCACAATGGGGCAATAGATGTTCACCAGCTCATGCCCCTTCTTCACACTGACACCTGCAGGCACAAGAGCTTGGCTGAGGGTCTGTGAGCTCCAGGGCGCAGAGGAAGGATCTCTCGCTGCCTACACCCATTTTCTCAAACCTTGGAGTCCGGCTACCTAGGCCCAGGCAGGGCAGGCCCCTGGGAAACTGCAAAGTGAGTGATATGTTCAAGTGCTTTCAGACTATCCTACAGCTGCTTTGTTTGGGCTTCCTTTCCCTAGCTCTGCACACGTGTGTGTGTGTGTGTGTGTGTGTGTGTGTGTGTGTGTGTGTGTGTGTCTACGCGCGCACACTCTGTTTGAGCCAAATACCAGACAAAGCTCAAGGGCTAAAGAGCCCTTCCACTGGAAATCCAGGCCCTTTTCTCTGCTGCCAGAGTTGTTTCCAAATATTTTTTAAAACCCTCCAAATGGGGCTGGACACAGTGGCTCATGCCCGTACTCCCAGCTGTTTGGGAGTCCCAGGTCAGAAGGTTGCTTGAGTCCAGGAATTCAAGACCAGCCTTGGCAACATAATGAGACCCTGTCTCTACAAAAATATATATATATGTTTTTTAATTAAGCTATATGGGGTTGTGCACACCTATAGTCCTACCTCCTCAGTCGGAGGGATGGCTTCAGCCCAGGAGTTAAAGGCTACTATGAGCTATGATGACACTACTGCACACTAGCCTGGGCAACAGAGCAAGACTATGTTTCTTAAAAAAAAAAAAAAAATGAATGAATGAATAAAATAAAAATAAAACCCTGCAATGATACCTCATCCTGGATAAAAGAACCTCCAAAATCTTATAGCAGCCTGTGCAATATGGTCCCTTCTGTGTGTCCAGCTCCATCGATCTCTGGTCACTCTCACTAAACTCCCACTAAACTATTAGGTAGAACCAATATCAAACAGCTGAGAGTCAACCATTTCTTACCTACAAAACGAGAGTTTATTATTCAACATAATACTTCTGGATGCCTGAAAATACTGTTTTCATATCTCCATGCCTTTGTGTGCTGCTTCTCCTTTCTGGAATATTCTCCAACCTCATCTGCTTGCTAGCTTCATCTCACCTTTTATTACTCAGCTCTAATACCTGTGCCTCCCGGAAGTTTCCTATGTTCCACCGTGCTGTCTGTTACCTCCATTCTTAGCACATGCCTCCAGGTGGCATGTAAATAAATGCTGGGGTTTTTTTGAGACGAAGCCTCACTCTGTTGCCCAGGCTGGAGTGCAATGGTGTGATCTCAGCTCACTGCAACCTCTGCCTCCTGGGTTCAAGCAATTCTTCTGCCTCAGTCTCTAAAGAAGCTGAGATTACAGGTACCCACCACCATGCCTGGCTAATTTTTGTATTTTTAGTAAAGACAGGGTTTCACCATGGTGGCCAGGCTGGTCTCAAACTCCTGACCTCAGGTGATCTGCCTGCCTTGGCCTCCCAAAGTGCTGGGATTACAGACATGAGCCACTGCACTCAGCCTCTTTTACCTTAATCTTTTATTACCTAGCACTTGAAAAACAAACAGATATATCTGGATTGTATTTAACTCCGCTGATAAACCTACCTTGCTTCCTGGACCCCTTTCAGCTTGAAGAGAACTTGTTCACGGACATCAGAGAAAACCTTTCCCAACTGATAGCCGCCTCTCTCTTGCTACCCGGTACCTTATCAGTCTTCTCTACAAATGGATTCTCTGAGATCACTGATGGCCTTTTCTCCCTGATTTTTATTTTGCACTCAGCCTCCCACTTACCACCTCCTTGAAAGGTTTCTCTGATAAATGCATGTCTACACCAGCCCAGTTTTTCCCAGGCCTCTTTTTGTCTGCTTCCTTGGCTTCTTTAAGCACCCACTAGTGATGGAGGGCCTATTCTGTTTAATAGAGTCCTTGCACAGACCCTATCTTCCAAGAGTTCATTCATACTGGGATTCTGAGTCCCTATGCAGGTTACAGCATCAACCTGAGCCACAGATAGAGGGGAGGGAACCTTGCTGGCCTCCATACTGCCCTGTGGAATCCAAGGTTACTCATTCATTCAATCCACCACGGAACAAGCATTTATTGAGCCTCTAATATGTGCTAAGATTTATATATAAAGTTAAAAAAGACACAGTATCTACACTCAAGAAGACAATCATAGATTACTGGGTAAATAATTTTATCTATTAAATAAATGACTAAAAAGCTGGGTGCAATGGCTCACACCTATCATCTCAGCACTTTGGGAGGCCAAGGTGAGTGGATCACCTGAGGTCAGGAGTTTGAGACCAGCCTGACCAACATGATGACACCCCATCTCTACTAGATACCAAAAATTAGCCAGGTGTGGTGGCGCATGCCTGTAATCCCAGCTACTCGGGAGGCTGAGGCAGGAGAACTGCTTGAACCCGACAGGTGGAGGTTGCAATGAGCAGAGATTGTGCCATTGCACTCCAACCTGGGCAACAGGAGTGAAACTCCATCTCAAGCCAGGCGTAGTGTTTCACACCTGTAATCCCAGCACTTTGGAAGGCCAAGGCGGGTGGATCACTTGAAGTCAGGAGTTCAGACCAGCCTGGCCAACATGGTGAAACGCTGTCTCTACTAAAAATACAAAAATGAGCCAGGTGTGGTAGTGGGCACCTGTAATCCCAGTTATTCGGGAGGCTAAGGCAGGAGAATTAATTGAACCCAGGGGGTGGAGGTTGCCGTGAGCCAAGATCGCAGCATTGCACTCCAGCCTGGGTGACAAGAGTGAAACTCTGTCTCAAAAAAAAAAAAAAAAAGAAAAGGAGTGTAACTCCATCTCAAAAGATAAAATCAAATAAATAAATACTGTTTTTGGGGGACCATGCGATTCCTTATCTTTCTTTTTTAACTTCTTTTTTTAAAGAGATGAGGTTTAACCATGTTCTCCAGGCTGGTCTCAAATTCCTGAGCTCAAGTGATCCTCCGATCTCAACTTCCCAAAGTGCTGGGATTACAGGCATGAGCCACCATGCCTGGCCAATCTTTTATTTTTCCTGCTTCTTTTTTAGTTTTGAAGTAATCACTATCCCTGGACCCTGCTCTGGAACAGATTCTCACCTTTAGCCCCCATGAAGAAGTCAGTTCTCCTACTCCTTCTAGTCTCAAAAAGACCCCAGGTCTTGCCCACACCAACCCAGGGACCCAGAAGGGCAGGGTAGGGTAGGGTAGGGCAGGGCTCTCACCACAGGCTTTCCCAGCTGAGTCCAGTAATATGCTCTGCACAGTGGCCTTTGTAAGGACAGCACCCCCAGCCCGCTGAATCACAGGAATGGTATGGAAGGCAATTTCACTGGAACCCCCTCGGGGATAAAAGCCTCCTTTTAAGTAGTGGTCAACCAGTAGGGCGTGCATGGAAAAGGTCGTGTGGCTGGGGGTGACACCTGCAGAAGGAAGGAAGGGTGGTGAGCAGGCAGGAGCAGGCACCAGCACCATTCAGAAAGGAACATGGAGTTCTGTGAGATAACACACAGCCCAGTCTATCCGAGGATCCACATGTCCCCCAGGGTCCAAGGCAGCCAGAAGAGACATTTCCATCCGGACATGGGTTCCTTAGAGATCTTAGGGCCAGTAGGAATATCCTCCCTGCAAAGTACCATGCTGCCAAGAGCAGGGAGGACAGTGTTGGTTGAACTGAGAAATCAACCAGGGCATGGATCAAGAGAATTTTTACCAAGGAGTTCAGCAGGTGGCCAGACTTATTCACAAGCTCCAGAGGGCCTGGGGTTTATACTGCCCCATATCAGTCAGCCAGGCAGGGTCGAGAAGAAAGATTTGGAGGCAAAAGGGCAGCCCTTCCTCCTCCAGAAGCTGCCCAGAGCCCATGGTCAGTACCCACCGTAAGTGGGGAAGATGTAGCTGAGCACTGCCTGGAGCTCCGAGGAGGCCCCCAGCTGTTGCAGGACCTCAGCCAGGCTCTGGGTGGATGCGTGAAGGAATGGAGAGAAACGAGTCAGCAGCCCACACTTGTCGAGGAGCCGAACCACGGGCAATGGGAGGAATTTCAACAGGATGGCATGAGGGACTCTACTGGAGGCCACCTAGAGAGAACAAGGAACGAGTACAGGCCTCACTCCTGGGACTGCTGGGACAGAATTGCTATCCCGATAGCCTGGACCAGCCTGAGCATCCAGCAATACTTACCCCTGACTGAACTTTGTTGAATTTGGATTTTTAGAAAAATCTATACTGTGTGAATTTTTCCCATCCTACACTCAGATGAGTCCTTTTTTGCTTTTTATTTTCCAGCTCAAACTCCTTTTCAAAAATCCCAATCTGGTCTCAGATGAAGTAAAAAGGAGCAGTGATCTGATATCATGGAAGCCAGCCTAGTCAGGGAGGAGAGCAGGGCATTCCCAGAGGCCAGGGTGACAGCAGCAGCCGTGGAGCCAAGGCTCCAAAGAGAGAGAAACAGGCTTCTGGGTGGACTCGGGTGAAGGCTGAGCTGAGAACAGATATGACCCTTCCTCCCTTCCTGCATCCTCCTTTGCACTCTCCACCCCCAGAGACTCCACTAGTAATGAAGAAAGTCAGCCTTGCCGGGAATAACCTCTGGGTCCTCAGCATGTCCACGTTACCTTAACCAGCTTTATATACTTGTCAATGATAGCTTCCTCCTGTGGAAACTTCTCCTTGAGGCCCTGAATGTAGGCTTTCTCTCCACTATACATAGGGTACTCCTTTGGGCCATTGGGCCCTTCCAGTACTATGATGTCAAAAGGAGAGGACAGGGGAGCCCAGTCCAGCTGCCCTTCAGTGATCTGGTCCAAGATAAAACGGCTAGTGCTGCCCTCCTCCATGCGCCCAATGTAATGGATTCCTGTTGGGAGATGAAAAACAAGGTGGTAAACAGATACAGGGACTGAGCCCTGAAAAGGTGGCTGAGGAAGTAAGGTGGAAGAGGTTATCTGGCCTGGCCTGGCCAAGCCCATGCCCAGAGCAAGCTGCCCACCCTGTCTATAGGGAGGTGTCACAGCAGAAACCACCAGATCCCTGCCCGGTTCACCTCCTGGTAGCTGTACTGTCAGATAAGAAAAGTGCCCAGAGGCCGGGCACGGTGGCTCAAGTCTGTAATCCCAGCTCTGCTCCCAACATATAGCCATGCTCCCAAACCTTTTCCACATAAGCCTTACCTGTGTCAAACTCAAGGCCTTTCTCTCCAAAGGTATGACAGCAGCCTCCTGCCTTGGTATGTTGTTCCAGCACCAGGACTCGCTTGCCAGCTTTAGCCAGAATTGCAGCTGCAGCCAAGCCCCCAAAGCCACTGCCAATTACCACCACATCCAGCTTCTCCGGCACTTGGCTGGTTGAAAAAGCTACAGCAAAAGGGCCAAAGGGTGGGTTTCTCAGGCAGGGGCAGGGAAATAGCAAAGATAGGGAAACCAAAGAAGACTTCTCTAGCTTGTACAGTGCAAGAAACCTCTAGAGAAGTTGGCATGGACCTCTTGACTAACATGTTTCAAACGTTTTACCTGGGAATACGCAGAACCAGCCAGGCAGATTTTGGTATTTTTTATTTGTTTGTTTCGTTTTTTGAGACAGGGTCTTGCTCTGGCCCAGGCTGAAGTACAGTGGTGTGATCACAGCTCACTGCAGCCTTGAACTCCTGGCCTCAAGCAATCCTCCTGCCTCTAGCTTCTGAATAGCTGGGACTACAGGTGCATTCCACAATGCCTAATTTATTTTATTTTTTGTAGAGACGAAGTCTTGCTATGTTGCCCAGTCTGGTCTTGAACTACTGGCCTCAAGTGATCCGCCCACCTTGGGCTCCCAAAGTGCTGGAATTAGAGGTGTGAGCTACCATGCCTAGCCCAAAAGCTGGGTTTCTTTGGAAGATGCAGGGTCTGCAAGTAACAGTGGAGCAGATGGGTCTTATGGTGGCTCTTCCAGGTCCTGATGGAAAGTCTTGGGCAGGACAGAATTGTTCAGAGGCTGTAGCTCTGAGAAATCACAGCACCAGCCCCTCCCATAGGGAAGGTCTGGGGGCAGTGCTGAGGGAGGCAGCACCTTCGCGGAAGAAAAAACTACACAGCAAGGCCAGGGGCGGTGGTTCATGCCTATAATCCCAGCACTTTGTGAAGCCGAGGTGGCAGGGATCACGAGTTCAGGAGTTTGAGACCAGCCTGGCCAGCATCGTGAAATCCTGTTTCTACTAAAAATACAAAAAAATTAGCCGGGCACGGTTGTGTGCGTGTGTAGTCCCAGCTACTCGGGAGGCTAAGGCAGGAGAATTGCTTAAACCCAGCAGGCAGAGGTTGCAGTGAGCAGAGATTGCACTATTGCATTCCAGCCTGGGCAACAGAGCAAGACTCTGTTTAAAAAAAAAAGACAAGGCCAGGCGCAGTGGCTCACGCCTGTAATCCCAGCACTTTGGGAGGCTGAGGCGGGTGGATCACGAGGTCAAGAGATCGAGACCATCCTGGTCAACGTGGTGAAACCCCGTCTCCACTAAAACTACAAAAAATTAGCTGGGCATGGTGGCGCGTGCCTGTAATCCCAGCTACTCAGGAGGCTGAGGCAGGAGAATTGCCTGAACCCGGGAGGCGGAGGTTGCGGTGAGCCGAGATCGCGCCAGCCTGGGTAACAAGAGCGAAACTCCGTCTCAAAAAAAAAAAAAAAAAAAAAAAAGACAAAAAACCACACAACAAAACTGAATAGCCACTGGTGCTATGTGGGTACTTCCAACACAAAATCTATTCTTTAACAATCATTGGAAAAGAACTGAGATCTCTAGAATGTTTCAAGATACAAGAGAACTTGACAAACTTTTTTTTTTTTTTTTTTTTTTTTAAGTTTTTAGAGAGATCAATAGTAAAAAATACATTTCAGGCCGAGTGTGGCGGCTCACGCCTGTAATCCCATCACTTTAGGAGGTGGAGGCAGGCTGATTGCCCGAGGTCAGGAGTTGGAGACCAACATGGCAACACCCCATCTCTACTAAAAATAAAAAAAATTAGCCGGGCTTGGTGGCAGTTACCTGTAATCCCAGTTACTAGTGAGGCTGAGGCAGGAGAATTGAACTGGGGAGGAGGAGGTTACAGTTAGATTGCACCACTGCACTCCAGCATGGGCAACAGAGCGAGACTCTGTTTCAATAAATAAATAATGCTAGTTGCAACTCACTAAATTGATTTCATAACCCACTAATAGATCACAACCTTGTCTGAAAAGCAGTTAAACTAGTCATCTCATTTTTAGACCAGCCCAGGTAGGTGCTAATGGTCATGCAGTGAATTAGTGACAGAGTCCAGGCTAAAACTCAGTTCTCAGAAGTCCAGATGATTAGTCCTTCCACTTAGAACAGTACTGTCTCCGCCTGTAGGGCAAGACATGACACGCAGAATTCTAAAATTTACAAGTGAGAGGGCCTCTGCAGATCAAACAGGCGATCCATTATTTTTTTTAAGCAGCAGGACTCTTTAAGCCCTGGAAGCAACCACAAAATATGTTTTAAATATGAGAGTGGAGAGCAGGCTCTGGGCCTGAGGCACTCTGTTGAACATCTGCCAAAGTTTCAGAACTAGCATTCAATCCTATGAGTTGGGACCATACAAAGCCTGTTAAGTCACCTGACAGGCAAAACGCAATTTCCTAAGCAGCTTGGGACACATTTCTGTGCTGCTCCCCCACACCCCTGAGCTCGCATGGGAGGGTAGGTGAAAGAGTTAAGGTCCTGGAGCCAAGTGGAGGAAAGGTCTCTTGTCTGTTCCGTGAGCCTCGGAGATTACAAGTGGCGGGGGTGGGGTGGGGCTGCCAAGACTTTGCACACCGAGGACAGTGCCCGCGACCTTGGGCCTACTATCACTATTCCGGGGCCTGCCTGCTAGGGCAAAGGCTACTGACAGTGCCGGACAGTAAAGCGGGGCTCCTCCACTGCAAGGAAGCCCTCCCAGTACTTTACATATGGGGAAACTGAGGCCCAGGTCTGGCAGCGGCTGCCTTGTCAAAATGAGAACACAAATCTATGAGAATACCTGAAGCACACCCCCCGACCCCAGGGTACCTCGCGCTACCTTGTTTGAGAACCTTTTTCCTGGCCTCCTTGTCAGTCACCAGGGGTGCTGGTGGCCGTTTGACATCCTCGAAGAAGGGATTCGGGGAGCTGCCAGGGAACAGTCCCAAGTAAACTTTGCAGAGACCGGCCAGCAGCAGCACGGCCAGGAGCAGCACCAGCAGAAGCCACATGTCGTAGGCGTCGAGTCGTGGAAATAGGCCAGGTGTGTCTGCGCTCAGCGTCTCAGGGCTGTGGCTCCGCCCCGGCTAGTTCGCTTTCCAGTCCGGAGGCGGAGGCAGCTTTGAGCACTGATTAGCCAGCCAGCGAGTAGCCAACTCTCCGGCGCCGATTGATCCTTTCGGCTCTCCGTACTTATTTTGCAGCGGGGCGTTTCCATTGCCTACTGAAAAACGTAGTTCTCGGAGCCAGGGGAGTCCGCACGGGAGAGGCTGTGCGCATGAGCGGATGAGGCCCAGCAGCGGCTGCGGCATCCCAGTTTGGAAAGCTCGGTTAACGGTAGGAACGCGTCGGGCTAGCAGCCGACCTGAGGAGGGAGGGAGAATATCGGGTGGAAATGATCCCTATGGGGCGAGACAAGGCCGAAAGTTGTAGGACTGAGAGAGAATCCCGGCTGGGAGACAGGAGACCTGGGTTCCGGTCCTGGCTCTGCCCTGGACTCGCCGCCCTGAGATGTTCAATTGCTTTCCTTCTCTTACGTCTCCAAGCAATGCGAAAGTTTCTGTCCGAAGTCCGCACAGCCCGTCTGACTGGCTGTCTTCATGAATTGAGATCTCTGTTATCTGCGCATCACAGCCGCTGAGCGCCTGGCTCTGTCCTCTCAAAGTGGCCCATAGTTTTGTCCTGGGCGCCCGACTGGGACGGGGGTCGTCTGTGGCGGGTCCCCTGTCACACCTCATCTCTGGGGAACCTGGGGAACAGGGAGCTGCCCAGGGACAAGCCTGGGGAAGTGGTCAGCGACGGGCCGTTCTAATTTAAATTCCTGTGCAGAGAGTCTAAGCTCCAGCAAACAGTTGAATCCTACGCCCTCCTTGCCTAAAGTAGGTGCATGATGAATACTTAATTTGAGAAGGATCCATTTTATAGGAAGGCCATTTCCTTAGATCCAACTATCAGGAGCTGCCTTTGAGTACTTGCTTGTTTTACAGAGATGTTGCTCTTTTCTTCTCTGATACAGATAGCAACTGTCTCTACTGAAGGCCCAGCAGTGCTCCAGCCAGGTGTGGAAAGCTGGTCCGTGCTTCCATGCTGCTTGGTTCATTTCCTACACAGCAACAAAAGAGCCACCCTGAGATTGCTATTACCATACCTGCCTGTCTCCTTGCCAAGGTTGGCCAATGTGTGTTTTGTCAGAGACTGCCATGGAGGCTATGGTGGAGGAAAAGGAAAGGGGGGGCAGATGCTGAGGCCCCGCAGGCCACAGTGAGAGCAGTTTAGTTCCTGAGGTGCCAAGACTAACGGGGCACTGACTACCCTGCCCTCAGGATTACAGTGAGCCTCATGTCCAGACCAAGAGCCAGGAGGTGTTCTTCCTCTCAGTGTTAACAATCAAAGCATCCTTACAGAGATTCCGGCTTGTTACCAGCAGCCAGTTCTTATGGAATCAAGATCATTACCACAGTGGAGGGCTGACCTCAGAGAGGCCACCTTCCTTCTTTAGTCACCTCAGCCTGTGAACTATGATTGTCAGTTGTATGTGGGCCATTTGCCCACTTAGGTACAATTTTTGATGTGACAGACATCCAGGATGTCCAGTTCCCCCATGATGAGGTATGAGCCTTGTCCAGCCCTTTTCCTGAGGCAAGCAATGTCAGATGAAAGACTTAGAGTTGGCCGTGGCTCACGCCCGTTATCCTAGCACTTTGGGAAGCCAAGGTCAGAAGATTGAGACCATTCTGGCCAACATGGTGAAACCCCATCTCTACTAAAAATACAATAAAAAAATTAACTGGGCATGGTGGTACGCGCCTGTAAGTCCCTAGCTACTCAGGAGACTGAGGCAAGAGAATTACTTGAATCCAGGAGGCGGAGATTGCAATGAGCCAAGATCGTGCCACTGCACTCCAGCTTGAGCAACAGAACAAGACTCTGTCTCCAAAAAAAAGAGGCTTAGAGTTGCCCAAACTGGCTAGGCAGCTGCCACATGTACAGTATTGGTAATAACTGAGAAAGGTTAGAACATTGTGTTGCATTTTGAATTTCTACCATCATTGGAACCAGGTCTAGTATTATAAGCCCCAAACCCAACCTGTGTCTGAGGCCTAAACAAAGCCTGAGCACTTCAGCTAAGACCACCCACCAAAGTGCCACCTTTAGCCTCACCCCTTTGATAAGCTGACCCAGATCCTAGTAACTCCATTGTCAGAAACAGACTCCATTCCTTCTAGTGGTGCTGCTGCCTTTTGGACACAGAATCCAGCCCACAGTCCCCTGTGTGATCCCCTTTTTTCCATCCTGTGGCATGGGTAGCAAGAGCATTTGGCTGAGACAACTTGTTCTTTCAGAATAAATTCACAGCTGCTTAAATTTTGTCAACAGGCATAACTGAATGATGAAACCAGTTTTCTTTTTCAGTTTTTCTTTTGGGCAGGGCTGAGGCTACAAAGACCTCGGGGGACTACTACTTTCAAAACTCACAGAAACCTCCTACACGCTCAGGATGGCACAAAGGGACTATTTTCTTACTCTTGGTCTGAGTGACTGCCAAGAAGGAAGGCGAAGGTAGAGCAAATGGATCTCTGGCTCTCCACATGGCTTCTGATCGCAGTCCTTATTAAAATCCTTTCTGGGACAAAGCTCACACAAACAAATGATTTTGAGTCATGAATGAAAAATCTTGCTCTTTCCATAATGAGGAAGAATTAAGAGATGGACAGGTAAGCATGCATTCTTACTTGGGAAAGATGGTGTTGGTTTGAGATACATCATTAAGTATAGTAAGAATACATTAAGAGAATGTGAGGCTTTGGAAAAATTTAGAAACCCTCATTATAGTTCTCTTTGTTCTGTAAGAAGGAGTTTTGATTCACCTCAGGGTCAGTTGCTTTTCCTGATAGCCTGTTTTCTAAGTGAGTAATGAGATTTTTTTCTTTTTGCTTGGGTAGTGGAGAGAATTTCAATGAGGAATCACCCAAGAAATCTGTATGTCATTAATTTGGATCATTTACCTTGCTAGCCTCTTCCCTGTAAAATGCCTGCTTTGGCCTGATCATTCTCAGGGCTCAGTTCAATGTGATAGGTCTTTGTATGAGCCAGGCAGCTAACCCTACATGCCTTACCTTTCACACACTACCTTGCCCACCGGAGGCTGTGGGATTCAGTGGCCCGACTGGGACAAAGCCTTTTCTTTGGGTCTCTGGAAGGATTTTCTTCACTGTAGTAAGATGTGAACTGTTCCAAAGAAGGAAGTCTTTGGACACTGGAGGGAACTGAAATGGAGAAGGAAAGGAAGGATGAAATGAATCTCAGGTACACAGACCCCTGCAGGAGGCTGTTCAGCACAATGAATCGCCAAATATTTTAGAGAGAAAATTTCAACAAAAATTCGAGACAAATATTTTATGCTTAGTACTGTGCCAGTGGATGTGAAACATACAAAAGAAATATAAGAGGCCAGGCGTGGTGGCTCATGCCTGTAATCCCAGCACTTTGGGAGGCCGAGGTGGGCAGATCACCTGAGGTTGGGAGTTCAAGACCAGCCTAGCTAACGTGATGAAACCCTGTCTTTACTAAAAATACAAAATTAGTTGGGCGTAGTGGCGGGCACCTGTAGTCTCAGCTACTCCAGAAGCTAAGGCAGATGAATTGCTTGAACCCAGGAGGTGGAGGTTGCAGTGAGCTGAGATTATACCACTGCACTCCAGCCTGGGTGACAGAGTGAGACTTCATCTCAAAAGTAAAAAAAGAAAAAAGAAATATAAGAGAAGGTCCTTATATACAGGACTTTTGCAGAAGAACTTGTTCTGCATACAAGGGCTGTTGGACTTAGAGGCATGAGACAGCATTGTAGCCCCAGCTAATAAGGTAGGTTGTCTTGAGTAGGTGGAACTTATCTTGATCAGAGACAAAGGTGGAGGTGTATTCTGGAGGAAAACTACATGAATCGGGATGAAAGTAAGGAGAGGAACTGCAGCAGGTGTGTTCATTGGATTACAGTGGGAAATAATAATTCTTGGCATCTTGAGGTCCATTACCAGGAAATTTGGGCTGCTGTGGGGTGTTTTGGCCTCCATTCTTGCATCTGGAACGTGAAGAAATGAAAGCTGTGTTTAACGAGCATTAGTTGGAGGGGGGAAAAAAAGCAGAAGGATTAGAGTAACAGGATGATCTGGGATTCCAGGGCCTTGCATAATACATTCACATGGCTCAAAATCCAAAAAGTGCAGAAGGACATATGTATTGTGAAGAAACTGCCTTCCACCCTTGTCCCCCAGTTTTTCTGCTGGAGACAAAGCTACTCCTTCCTTGGGTATAACTCTGAAAATGGTCTCTGCAAAGATAAGCAAATGTGCTTATGTACTTTTAAAAAATAAAATGGTAAAATAGTGTATAGACTCGGTCCTTTGCTTTTTCACTTAATACATCATGAAGATTGTCCCATATTGCCTGTAAAGCACTTTCTCATTTGTCTTTATGACTATATAGTATCTCACTGAGTGAACGTGCTTTTATTTATGTAATCAGCCTATTAGTGAACATTTAGGTTTTTCTAGCCTTTTGCTATTATAAACAGTGTGACAATGAATCACACTGTAAATGTAAACATGTCATTTTGCACATGGATGAATATATCTGTTAGATAAATTACTAGAATGCAGTATCAGGCCCCACAAATACAAAACATACATGATTAGGTACCGTCAAGCTATAGAGGTGGTAACAGTTTACTCAGCAGTGTGTTAGCCAACGTACGTGTTATCAGCCTTTTTTTTTTTTTTGATACGGAGTCTTGCTCTGTTGCCCAGGCTGGAGTGCAGTGGAATAGTCTCAGTTTAAACCACTGCCTTCCAGACTTAAGCAGTTCTCCTGCCTCAGCCTCCCGAGTAGCTGGGATTACAGGCATACACTACCACACCCAGCTAATTTTTTGTATTTTTAGTAGAGACGGGGTTTCACCATGTTGGCCAGGTGCTCCTGAAGTCCTGACCTCAGGTGATCCACCCACCTCAGCCTCCCAAAGTGCTGGGATTATAGGCATGAGCCACCGTGCTCTGCCGACTTTTTATTTTTTTTTAAATGAGTGAGGTTGAGCATTTGTTCATATGTTTCAAACCAATTTGTGGGCCAGGCGCGGTGGCTCACGCCTGTAATCCCAGCACT